CCATGGCCGTGCCAGCCCCTCCCCTTGCCTTGGGGCTCTGCCCCTTTCCTGCTGCTCCCAGTAAAAGGGGGGGGGGCGGGGGCTTCTGGCCCCCTGCTCCAGGCACTTAGTCCTGACTACTCTGCAGCAGTAACCACTGGATTCCCTGCAGGAAGCAGGCTTGTTCAAAGGCACAGGACAAGTGGAGATAAAACCAGGATCCTGTACACCACATGGCTGCACCACATGGCCACAGATGACAGTTATTTTAGGTGCTATGCCTCCATAAGCCATCAGCCCCCGGTTGGCAGCAGTGGAAAGTGTGTCCCTGCCCCATTTTTAATTTACTGTTTTCTTATGGCAAAATAGTGCCAGCCTGCATCAGAAGGACAATGGGTAATGCAGCACTATCTTTGCATATGAAAGGCTTCTCTCTGGCCAACTCCTTAGCAAAAGCAATTAATGAACCCACTTTCTTTCACTTCAAGTCGGAGAAAGACCAGTAGGCAGCTTCCTAAAGAGCAAGGAAGAAGATGGGTAGGTTCAGTCAGCATACAAGAGGTTTTTGCCCAGACTCCATTATGAAGACATCCCACCACAGGCACTGTGAACAGATGGACAAGCAGAAGCGCACACCAGACCGTGTAGTCTTCTGGTCTTCTCACCTCAACACATGTATCCCCTTTGTTATGCAAGCAGTTTTGGAATGATTCCAGTCTGGCACCAATTTGTCCCTCCTGATGCTTGTTACTAGAGCCATCTAATTCCATCACCAAGACCAAGCAGCAGCTGAATGCAGGTAGTTCAATACATAGGAAAGGGAAGAGACCTCAGCCCAAAACCCAGATCTAGACATCCAGTCTTTTGAAAGAGGGGAGGATTAGTTTCCGCTCTTCTGTTTCTAGGATGTACCAGACAGCTACAGCACTTGGTCTCTGCAGGCTGCATTCCCCTAGTGGGAATGACCAAGATTAAAAAGGTGCCTTTAGCTTAACACAGATCACAAGATTAAACTAAAACTGCACCATCCTCAGCTAGGTCCACTTACCCTTCTCTCTCCAGAATGCTGTTATTCCCAGCAAGCTCCAAGCTAGGGTTTTATTGCTACTACCCTTGGCCACATCCTTCTGCACAGAAGGGGCCACGAGCTTACCAGAAGCTGTCTGCTGAAAAATAAAGCAAATAAATACCACTACACCTGGAGCACAGCATGGAGGGAATGGTTCTTTTATTTCAAAAGACATTAAGACAATTTTCAAATTTTAGTATCAAAACACTTGATATGGTTTTTCTGCAGTTGGCCCCTAAAACCACGAACAGCCAAGGAGCGCTCGAGCCGATGAGCTACACAATGCAAACCTCACACTGACCGCAGCGCGCGCACCTCACAACACAACTGAGCTTCAGTAATACGCTGCAGGATGGCTTGTACCCAGTTAAGACATCAAGAGTGCTCCTGGCAGGAAGGGATCCCCTCACAGAAAAAGCAACTCTTTGAACAAGAAACATTTTTGTATTTAAGCTATGAACGTGTCTGCCCAATGATGAGTGACAAAGCTTGGTGCCACAGCACTTAATGAAGGCAAATTCAACCCCAGTGGAAGCAATGGGCTAGAGGAGCTGCCTGCTTTTATGTTTGTTAGTAGCCTAGAGAGGGGGACTGGGCCACACAGGGTATAAAAAGGTCCATGCAACTAATTCTCACATTTAAAGAACAGGTTTGGTCTTAAAAAAAAGGAGGAACCCCAACTTGGCTGTGGCCCCTGGCTCTGGGACAGGAGGGGAGTTACCTTAAAGCTGAGACTGCACTGCACTTTTTGGCAAACAGCTCCTGTGAGTTCCAATTCCCACTAGCCCTATGCAGATGGAGCATGGTTCCCCCACAGGGCCTGCATTTCCAGGCAGGCTTATAGGAATGGTCCCCCTTCCCCTCCCTGCTGCAGAGGCAGAGAGGAGCGGAGCTTACAGACACAAGGTTAGTATCAAATTGTAAAGCCGTGAGCTTCCCATGTTGCTTGTGAGCCCCCTCCCCCCAGGCTACACGGAACATTTACAGTGGCCACTACAAAAGAGGTTGTTACAAAACATGTGCAATCTCAGACGTGCTCTCCAAACATTATTGCATTGCTTTATTTCCCTTAATGAAGCTGTTTAAGGCTCTGCCCAACCTGGTGACCTTTAACCCTTGGGCAAGCTGGCGGAATGTGTTTGGCTGAATTGGCAACAGGAAGGTAAACGGTGAAGCCCAGGGTTACAGGTCAGCACCGGATGGGCTGGCCCAGCAGCGTGGCAGAGGCGTGGCAGGGGTCCTTTACATTTCGTTCAGGTCTAGCAGGGTCTGGTCCAGCATTCTTTGCGTGCAGAGATGCTCCTCTTTGGTGGATTTCAGTTTATCTGGCAGGAGGCAAGAGTCAGACAGTTAGAAGTCAATTTAAAACTGCACAGACCCAGCCAGAGCTCGACCCGTGCCCAGCACAGCAGCCTTATATTAGCTCCTCCTTACATGGTGGCTGCAGAACTCCTTGTGACCACTAACCCTGGGATTACCCAACTCATTGGTGGCCTTTATCTCTAGAGCAGCCGGTGCCCCCAGTGCTGCTGCTGCTCAAAAGGTCAGTGTGTTTAGCTAGTGCCGGCACCTGAATTGTGTGTGCAGAAGCATCAGTGACACTGGCCTCCCCCAATCCTTCAGGGAGCAGACCCTGGCCCAATGGCCAAGCATCCACCAGCAGGCACCCAAGTTGCTCCAAGCTGTGTTCAGCAGATCCCTTCAGCCAGAGAACTGCACCCAATGCCTGCCCCTCCCAGAGTTCACACCGGAGGCATTAACTGCTCACGTCATGGGACCAGCAGCCCTGCAAAGGTGGGACTCTACAGCAAGGCCTCTTAGCAGGGGTAGCAGCCAGCCAGGAAGCTGCTCTCCACAAGCAGGAGACAGTGGCTTAACGACAGCATGCATGCTCAAGCCCACCCAGAGGTCATGACATGCTCCCTCAGCCAGGGGAGCCCACATCAGTTGCCAGGGTTCTTGCTTAATCATGTTGCCCCAGCAAATCCCAACATGCAGGAATACCGGACAGACATGCTGCAGGAAGAGAGTACGTCGATACAGGTGGCCTGTTGGGGCATGGCCAGAGACGCAGTGCATTCTTCTGGAGCACCCTGGAGGTCAAACTGGGAGGAAGGCTGCTTCCTGGTGCAGAAGCTAGGGGTCCTGCCCAGGAGCCCACAGAAGCTGCCTCTACACCTCCTGCACCAACCCACACAAGATTCCCACCCTCAGGAAGTCATCTGGGTGACAGATGCTTGCTTCCAAGAAGATAATCCCCACACCAGCTGGAGTCCTTATGGACCAGCCCCCACAGCTGTCCAAGCCCCTCCCCAAACTTTCTGAGCTGGAGGTTGTCTATAGGAAAGTAGCACAGGGTTGCAGTTATCTTATGGACTGCGAGGTCAGTGGTTTATTGTCAGAAACAGCCATCAATCCATGCAGCAGGAAATCCTACAGGCATTCAGGGGACAGCACTTACATATATATACACACACACATTGGTCTTCTCTACAGCAGCTTGCCTAATAGGTACAGGCCTCTAGGGTCAGCCCACACCCACAAGCTGGAAGGGACTGCTAGTCTGACTCCACATGGAACCCTGCAGTGCCCAGCAGGCCAATAGGGCACAGCTGCCCAGGTGCCAGCCTGATGGACTCTCAGTCTTAGGGATTTACTGCACTGAAGAAAGGTTAAATCTCATTAAAAAGAAGAAATTAAAAAAGGAATCAGTACATTAGATACTAGACTGCATCTGCCTCCCACCCCCTTAGCAGCAATTGCACAAGGTGGGCAAGCTGCACGCCTGGTAATAATGATCAAAATTCACTGTGGTCCACTGGGTGGGTCTCGCAATAAGCTTGTTTTTAATGTCATTAGTGGGGCCCCTCCTCAGTCACATAGATCATGCAGCGTTAACTTCAGCTCGTTAGAGAGCAGGCGGTTTTTCTCATGCTGGCTGTACAGGCGCTCTGCGGCGGCAACAGGAGGATTAGGGAAACAAGGAGAGAAAGAGAGAGAGAGAGAGAGAGAAAGGGAAGGTTAGTAGAAGACCAAGGCGAGCACGTTAAACAACCTGTCTCAGCATCTCGCGGCTTTATGACTTCCAAGCCATGGGTGCCTCAGCCTGCAAACAGGAAGCAGACTGGGTCAGAGAAGGAGCCAAGTACAGACAGAACAGACGGAAGTGTTGCTGTGCATCTGTAGTGATACAGGAAGGCAGAGGACAGTGCTGGAGGATGAAGCCTATGCACCAGCCTGTTTCTTATGCCCTGACACTGGACGACCCTTGGAGGCACCTTGTTCTGTATAAGTAGAGTGCAAGAAAGCAGAGTGGTTGTCAGGGCCATTTAGGACAGCGCTTATGTGGACCTAGTGCTTGTAAGGCTGGATCCCAAGAGCTAGAAGGATCACCTGCAGGGTGAGAGTTTGGCCCCTCCACAAGCTTCCGACCAGGCCAGCAGCACAAGGGAGGCCCAAAGCCTTGCTTGCTTTCAAACACTATTAGCGATGAGCCACCGTGGAAGTCCCTTCAGACAGATGCGTCAGGACACTGAGCAAGGATGCCCTGCCCATGCTCCCGATGGAGTACATGCTACCCAGCAACACCAGCCAGGCACTCTAGGTAGCAGAGCAGAGCTAAGTCCAGAACCACATGGTCAGCTAGCAGGACAGGGACAGATGCTTCAGAACAGGACCAGGCTTTGGCATGCTGCATTTACATTTTAGCCCTGGGGATGGTACAGCAGCGTGCTGTTGCCTGACAAAGCCAGGCTGAGTTCCTAGAGGCCTGCTCCATTGGCTAGGACTGGGCCAGCAGCCTCATAACTGGAGGGACAGGCACCTACCAGTTCAGCTTTCCTGCCAAACAGGACAGAAGGCATGCAGCCTGCCTGCAGCATTCTGGGGTCAGGGGGAGCAGGCACCTAGTGCACACCAGCCACCACTCAGAGGAAAGGAAAGGGGGCCAAAGTCAGCAGCAGGTGTGACCTGATGTCTATGGGGCTGTTGCCCCATCCTTGGGGAGCTGTTGCTTGCTCCAGCAAGGGCTCCACTCATTAGATATGCATTCTCTGGGCTGGAAGGCTGCTAAACAAACCACCCAGTGACTGGTCTAAGCCTGAGGTTAAATAGCAGTTGTAGAAGCAGGAGAGGGACAGAGCCCCTGATGTGGCACCTACAGCAGAAGTAACATGGAATTTCAGACTCAGACCCCCACAGATCTCACCCTCTCTTGGGGCCACTGCTCACTGGGACTCTGTCTGTATCTGCAGAGGCAGGCAAGGCTCCAGGCAGACTGCAAACACAGCCTCTGCTTGGGCAGAAAGAGCCAGAGGCAGAGCTCCCGTACCACGGGAGCTAGCGAGAGCACAGACCACCTCAATATGACTGGGTGAACTGTGGGACCATCAGCACAATGGATGAAAGCCAGAGGTCAGTGCAACAGCCTACAGGAAAGGAGCCAGATGCCAGCCCACTAACTAGCCAGATCCCAGGAAAGGGGCTCTGTATCCAGCTATGCTGCTTTGTTCTTGAGCCTGCTGGCTTCAGAAAGATCCCCCACCCCCAGGGCTAAAGAAGGATGGTGCCAGATGGCCTGGAGGCTCAGGCTTGCATCTCAAAAGGGCTTTTATCTGTGTTTATGGCACCTCCAGCCAGAAGCCCAGCCCAGCCCACTGCTGGGCAAGAAGCCTAGCAGGCTACAAAGTGACTACGCCCCAGGCCAGACACTGCCTCACCTGGGCACCAGCCATCCACCTCTGGGCAGGGAGGTCCTGCCCATACCTCCCTTCTTCAAGGTCATTTCAGAAGCACTTCTGCCCCCCATCCCACACAGATTTAGATGGAGTTAATCTACTCCTAAGCAGGTCTTTCTAGGCCTCCCTGACCCAGGGGACAGCCTCAGATCTAGGACAGGATGTCTTATCTGGTTAAGTGCTGGTTCAGCCCACCCCCCTCCCCAAACTAGTTGGGATGTCTAGGACCAGCAGTAAGAGGATAAAGGCAGGGGTCATATCAGGCCTGAGATTGCAATGTGATGCTGCTCATGCTGGGGAGGCAGCAGGTTTCTTAGCTGTGGCAGAAGCCAACAAGGAGCTTTGCTATGGAGCATATGTGACAGTGCCTTCATAGGATACTCTGCAGAAGTACCTTCCAGACTTTTCCAAAGCCCCCAGGAATGCCCAGCAGCAGGGCTGACTGATCTGGCAGGGACAGCTTTTCGCTCTGCACCATGCCCCGACGGTCCAGGCCCCCCATGCCAGAGAACGATGCCAGGAAGTTCCAAGTTGGCAGTAAGATGTGGCACTTGCAGATGTGCCTGCAGCACGTGTGCAACCTCCAAAGACCAAGTAGATCCCACCACAGGCCTGCAGCCAAGGGTGCCTGTGACCAGCTCTGCACTTCGATGCCAATAGCATCCCTTTTGTACAGAAACACCCACATCTGGAAAGCAGAGGCAGATGCCTTGCCTCCAAGCAGGGACAGGTCAGTGCAGAAACTTTACTTCTTACCAACACCAGAGTTCAGCAGGCATTTAATATGAATGCTTTGATGGGATACGAAAGCTAACAAACTGAGAACCTCTACACAGCACACTAGCACAAAACAGCTCCAGCACTAATCTGCATAGGCTTAAATAAATAAATAAAATCAAATCAGGGTGATCGTGACCAAATGCAGCCTCAGGATTTTTGCTGCACCAGGAGGGCTCTTTAGCAACGTCACATGAACACTCGAGGCAAGAACAGATGGCTGCAGGGAGCTTGGTGCAACACTGATGTATTCCACTGACAAGGGAGTTGCACTGGGGCAACACTGACACCAGGACTCTAGGGCAGACCAGTCACTAGATACCCGTTTTGAGAGCAGCTGTTTCACTCACCGTGAATTTACACATGTAGGTGGTTTTTTCCCCCCTTAAAAAGGCGACTTCACGCTAAACCAAGAGGCAAGAGAGAAGTACAAAAGGAGCTTTATGACTCTACACAGAATAGGCAGATGACAAAAGGCACTCAGCCCCACACCCAGACACACAGTAAGGGCAGCCCTGGTGTGTACCAGTGTCTTGGCATGTCAGTCATACACAGGAAGCTTTGTTTAGGAGCAAGTGCAGTGCACCGGGGGCTGCGGCCACTGTCAAGCTTCACAGCATCTTTACAGGTGTTGACTCCCTGGGCTGCCTTGCATACAGTCTAACTGGACAAGGGCCCTGGAAGGCAGAGTGAGCAGGAGGATGAGGGCGTGAGAGAGTGAAGGCTGCAGATGCAGAACAAGTGATCAAGCAGAGAGGCAAATCCAAAGTGGAGTTTGGAATCACAAGATTTATCTGCGTGAAACAAAGAAGGAGACACGCATTTTAGGAGAGGTGTGTGCTGGCGCACTGTACACGCGGGGTAGCAAGTGCTCAGGTGCCAGAGCCAAGGGTCCTTACTTCTATGCGGTGAGCGCCTGCCCACCCCCAGTTAATGGTACGGGAACACACAGAGTAGCTGGTTAGAATCCACAGCAAGTCAGAACAAAGCCAACAGCTGGTTATGCCAACAGACTCGTTTGGCTACTTCCACAGATCACTTATCTACTCAATCCAGCCTCACAGCAACAGTCCCTAGGTTTAGCCAGCACCACCTCATCCAAGCCCAATCCTTGGAGCCACCCTGCTTCAACGGCCTGCTACAGGGATGGCTGTTCCCAGCATAATGGGAACTCCACTACTCAGATCAACAGATTCATGCTAGTCCCGTTGAGCATGGCTTTACGCCAGCCCTACTCAGCACCGTACATGCAGATCGCAGGGACCCGACGCCAGTGTTAAAGTTATGGCATGCTGCGAGAACCTCCGCCTACACCCAGAGGCAGAGATCTGTAGAAGTAACCGACTCACGCAGTTAGTGTCACTTCTGTAGCCAACGTCTCAATCACGGCAAACCAAGCAAGCGCTGGCCCAAAGGCCTGCTCAAGCAAGGACAAAACACCAGCCAGCTCATATTTACATGGAAGTCATGTCATTGAGGGCGTGGTCCAATTCCTCACTAATTGCTTTGTACTTCAGTTTCTGGGCATAGAGCTCATCTAGAAAGGTTTGGAGAAGAGGGAAACAGTGAGGGAAAAGGAAGAGCCGATCAAAACTCTAGGGGGTGGAGCAACAGCAGAGGATCTGCCAGCAGGAAACAATGAAGCGTGTGTGGAGACCCCACGGCCAGGTCACATCAAGAGCCTGTTTTGTTGAAAAGGACAGCTTGAAGACAGAGCTGGGCCCAAACAAGCCCTGCAGACAATGCACCGCAGTGCCAATGGAGTCGACTCCAGGATTTTAAGAATTAAAACTATTTCACTGGCTCTAAATTCATGGGCAAGACTTAGCTGCCCTGCTGGATCCGCAGGGACCAGTGCTGGATTGTGAGGAACGCAGGTGGCTGGAAGTGAAGGCACAACCCTTTTCAGAGGGAGTGGAACAGGTTTCTCTAGCTAAGAAGGAGAGAGAGCAGCTGGAGCACTTGTATTGCTTCTCTCCCCGCCCCGCTTTCAAGCACAAAGCCTGTTTTGAACCGATTCACCAGCAGACCCTAGGAAGGACTCCCACGCCAAGGTATATGTACACCTGGGCAGGAGGAGCTAGACAGACTGCATCTGCATTATCTGCCATATAATGGAGCAAGGCAACAGACCCTGCCATCACTGGCCGAGCAGAAGCCAGTGTGCAGGCACACACCAACTCACTCTCAGGGCTACTGGGGACTCCACCCCCATGGCCATCTATGCTACAGAGCAGCTGCTCACAATGCAGCCACTGTCTGTGTGGCTTGCCCCACTGGCCCCCAGCTACGTTGCTGCAGCAGCAGGACAGCTGGAGCCAGCAGCCCAGCTGAGGGACAGGCTGCAGCGTGCAGCGCTGTCTCCATGAGAAGTCATGCAGCTCACAGCCCTGTGAGAGTTGCACCTCACTCTGGATCACTGCCTGGCTTCATCCGCCTGCTGCTTGGCTGCTGTTATGGAACAAGGCTTGGGTAACGCCCAAAACCAGATTTCTAGATAAGCCTTTGCAGGGAGCTGGGGAGGCTGGTGGCCTTGCTGTCTGGGGTCACTCAGACCCGGCTCTCTGGATCTATGCCCAGGGCAGCTGGGCAGGCCAGGAAGTCTGTTTTCCATGGCCTGGTATCACCCAAGACCACACCTAGCACAGCACTCCACTGAACAGCCCAGGTTGGCATGGAGGGGTAGCACAGGAGCTCTGACCTCCTTGGCTCAGGTCTACCCAAGTCTGATCAAGAGCACAATGATGTCCTGAGCAGGGGGCAGTCTGTCCACTCCCTCGGTTCCAGCCCCAAGCCCCACAGCTGCTGGGGCTGAGTCCATTAGCACTCCTTGCAACAGCGTGGCTTCTCCAACCCCACAACATACCTTCCAAGTCATCAATGGTCTTCTCCAGTTTGGCTACTGATCGCTCAGCGAATTCAGCACGGGTCTCCGCCTGTCCCAGCAGAGAAGTCAGAGTCGGTCAGTCAGCAGGATGGCAGGCACGCATGGCAGTGCCATAAGACTGCAGGAGTCAAACCAGGTGCCCCCCTACAAGCTTGGACCCCCCCCCCCCCCGCCCATCCCCAGGTCTGCCCAAATCCCACATGCCAAAAAGCATGTTCCCCTACCTAAAGACTACTGCCACTCACCTCCTTGAGTTTGTCGGTCAGGATCTTGATCTCCTCTTCATATTTGTCCTCTTTTTGGGAGTACTGTGGAAGAGGCAGGCAGTCAGGCCCCAGCTGTGCCCAGCTCTACTCACTACCATCCTTCCTGCAGGCAGTTCAGAGTCTGCCAGTGAGTTACCAAACCCTCCATGAATAGCATAGGAGGGAGGGATTCACTTCTGCTTCTAGATGTGCCATGAAGTTGCCCAGCCCAGAGGACCTGCCTCTATTCGCAAGAGCCACGTCTGCCTGGCAAGCACCCAGCTAGGATTCTGGCTCCAGGCCTCTGTTGTTATAGTACAGCACACAGAGGGGGCTGCCAAATCCACACCCAGGCAGCCCAAACAGTTGGACCCAGGTTCCTGGAAAAAACCTTCACAACTCATTACCAGACTGACCCCCTGTGAGGCCAGCACTACTTGCTAACAGCATTTAAAATGTTGTTAAGCCTAGGTCTGCAGTATCGAGGAGCATGAGCAACATGCTCCAGGAAAAAGCGGTAGCAAGGCTCCCAGCTCTTGGGATGCGTGGGAGCCAGAGCCCCTGGCCAGAGAGCAGGCATGTTCTGGGCCCTCCAAAGCAGCCCTACCTTCTCAGCCTGGGCCTCAAGAGACTTGAGATTGTTCGTGACATTCTTCAGCTCCTCCTCCAGCTCGGAACATTTGCTGCGGAGGTTTGTAAAGAAGGCAGGAGAGAAGGACAGAGAAACAGGAGGGAAAGAACACAGGAGAGAGAAAAGAGAGACGAAAAGTGAATCCACATGTAGAGACCACAAGGAGACAGGGCTCCTGGGAGCAGGCTGGGTGAAGCCAGCACTTGTGCAGGTAGTGAGCACCACCCAGGTGCTTAGACCAGATGCCCCCTTTTAAGCACCTTGTCAACGCTGCTGCAGCATCGACAAGGCCTTAAGAGGGGCTGGATGCAGCACCTTGCACACACAATGGGATTATTAACCAGTACAGTGGAGAGGGAAGTGAGCAGACAGCTGCCGCTAATCTGGAAGGGGGTTGCCAGCCAGCAAGAGAGAATGGAGCATTCCAGAAGGGAGAGAAAGGAGAGATGCCATTAACAAGTGGATGGAAGAGAACAGCGAGGAGGCCGCAGGACCTGCAGGTGTCACAGCCCAAGGAGGGGACAGTTAGTACCTTTTCTTCGGCCACAGCCAGACACTTCAAGTTCTGGTCCATCATTCGGATCTGCTCCTCCACCTCCCGGACACGACTGTTAGTGGTGGTCACATGATGGCACAAGCCAGGTGGGGGCAAAGGTCAAAAGGAGCACCAATAACACAGTAAGCAGAGCAAAAAAGGGGGGAGGGGAAACAAAGAAGAGTCTTGGTCATGACATGCATGTCAGGAGGGAAGCAGAACTCTGCCTGCTGTGTGCACGGCTGACTTTGTTACACAAGGCCCAGAAGACCACGGAAAGGCCCCCAACTGCCCCTGCAGATCCACTCAGAAGCCTGCACATGTGCGCATTCCTTCTGACCAGGACTTCACCTGCTGTTCCCTGCCCTGAGACCATCCCCAGTATCACAGAAGTCTGCAGAGGTGGCAGAGTTGTGGCCGCTCGTGCTCTGCACCCCAACCCCTGCCAGAGGACCATGTGCCCAGGTGACCACACAAAGCTGTGCTGTTGAGTGCAAAGCAGGAGTGCAAGTGAAGGCCTTTAGCCATGTCTGCTAGGCACTAAGTGGGCCCAGGCAGGCTGCAAGCTCAGTCCCTGTTCTGAACACAAGGTGCGTGAAGCTCCTCTCCTCCCTCACCTGCTGGCCTAGCACTCCCCCTCCCTCCCCCAGGCCTTGTTTAACAAGGTTTGGGATGTTTTTTCTAGGTTAGTTTCTGTGCAGTGGAGTCATGCAGGCAAGAGCCATGGTGAGATACTCACGACTCTGCAAGCTCAGCCCTCTCCTCAGTGCGCTCCAGGTCTCCTTCAATGATCACCAGCTTCCGGGCAACCTGGAGAAGAGGAAGCCAGACCCTGAAGATGGGAGAGAGAAACAAGCTTCCTCCTCCTAAACCACACAGCCCAGAGGACAGCACCAGGCAGTCTACTAGTTCCTCTGCAAGGAGAATAGCACATCTGCAGTACTGTGTCCAGTTGTGCCCCCCACCCCCGCAACGACAGAAAGGATGTGGACAAATTGAAGAGAGTCCAGTGGAGGGCAACAAAAATGGTTTGGCAGCTCGGGGACACAACTTGTGAGGAGAGGCTGAGGGAACTGGGCTTATTTAGTCTGGAAAAGAGAAGACCAAGTGAGTATTTAATAGCAGCCTTCAACTCCGTGAAGGGGGGTTCCAGAGGAAGATGGAGCTGGACTATTCTCAGTGGTGGGAGATGACAGAACAAGGAGCAACAGTCTCAAGTTGCAGCAAAGACAGTTTAAGTTAGATACCAGGAAGAATTCTCTCACTAGGAGTGGGAGGGTAATAAAACAATGGAACAGGTTAGGTTACCCAGAGAGGTGGTGCAAATCTCCATCCTTGGAGGTTTTCAAGATCTGGCTAAATAGAGCCTTGGCTGGGATGATCTAGTTGGGGCTGGTCCTGCTTGGAGCAGAGGGTTGGACTAGATGTGACCTCCTGAGGTCCCTTCCAGCCCTCATCTTCTATGAATACAAAATAGTGGCTGGGAGCCAGCCTGTCCTCCAGCATCCACACCATCAGTATTTTCCAGACAGAGGGGAAGAAGTCTTTTCCCCAAGCAAAACCAAACTGCCAGAGCTTCTGCAGGCCTCACCTCTTCATACTTCCTGTCAGCCTCCTCTGCAATGTGCTTGGCCTCCTTGAGCTGGATCTCCTGCAGCTCCATCTTCTCCTCATCCTTCAGGGCTCTGTTTTCAATCACCTTCATGCCCCTGTCAAAGAAACAAAAGCAAGGGTTATGCACCACTGTTATTTCCACCCCCTGGTGGACACCCCCCAAGCCACATGGGCACATAGAAACGCGGATCTCCAAACCATGGTGGCATTTGCCAGGTCTCATAGAAGCACGGACAGCTGGCCAAACCCTGGGCTCCACTCACCGTTCACTCTCATCAGCAGCTTTTTCAGCCTCCTCCAGCTTCTGGAGCGCTGTGGCAAGACGCTCCTGGGCTCTGTCCAACTCCTCCTCAACCAGCTGGATACGTCGGTTCAGGGATGCCACTTCTGCTTCAGCCTAGAGAGAGCCAAGCATGGCAATTAGCTGGTCTGCAGCAGGATCCGACAGCTGCTGAAGGGATCGACGTAGTGCCCATCACCAAATGAGACACCCGCTAACTGGCAAATTATACCTGGCAGCACACTGTGGGACTGCCCAAGGGTCAGGAACACATGGCAAGTTAGGCAGCATCCCACAGCCAGGCCACCCCATGTGCATTTCCAGCAACTGGCACCTCAGGTCAGAGGGCAGTCAGATTATCTCAGCAGCCTGGCTAAGTGCTCCTTCTGCTAGAAGCCTCTGCCTTTACAGTTCTGGCCACTGGGAACACAACCCCCTCTATCCCGCTCTGAAAGAGAGGCTGGGGAGGAAGGGGTAGGGGTTGAAGTCTCTACTGCAAGGGCAGGCAATTATTTTGGGCGGAGGGCCGCTTACTGAGTTTTGGCAAGCCATCAAGGGCCACATGACAGGCAGCCAGGGACAGATAAAATTTTAATATTTACAATTTGTTTTTAGGGGCCCCATGGGCTGGATAGAATGGCCTGGTGGGCCACATTTTGCCCACACCTGCTCTACAGGCTCTGCCCAGGAGTTTCTAGCCTAGGGGGCCACAGCACTAAGTGCAATGATAAACTTCAACATCCTCTCTAGCCAGACACAGAACAAAGCCAACCCCAAATCTGCCCTCAGCAAACTGAATGAGAAGGGGGCTCTGGTCTCCAGAAGGGCTCTCTGGAGGACCATTCAGAGCAGTGTCCCTACAGAGGCTTTGCAGCCTCCTGTCTGAGCCAGGAATGACTCATTTGGAGGCAACTTCTTCTATCGCCACTTCTGCTGCATCAGCAGAGCACCCAGGAGCTCTCCCGAGACCTGCACACCAGGCTTTCCATACACAGCATAGCCTGTCAGATGTTGGTCAGCACTGCTCTGGACCTATGCCCATGGCCCCTTCTGGGAATCTGGAAGGAAGTCTGCAAAAACTATAGGCATCAGCTCACTGCTTTACAGCAAGCACAACACACCCCACTCTGCCCCCAACCATCTTCAGAGGTGTCTGATCTCTCCTAATCAGACCAGAAACCCTGTGGGGGAGCAGCACACCAGGCCAGCTGCAATCCAGCACAGCTGTGCTGCAATGTCACCCTGTAACCATGTGCCTCATTCTAGAGGTCTCACTAGGCTTGCTTGAAATAATGCCCTAACCAGCACTTGCGACAAAGCAGCTTGCCCAGGCACGTGGTCCGAGCCAGCAGCTTGTGCCCGGGGGGCAGGGCAGCAGCCTGCTGTAACCGTTAAGCAATGAAAGAGGCCAGTGTCAGAACAGGGCTCCATGCAGCTCAGCCTTGGTTTTCCCCTCGGGAATCTGCTCATGCGCCACTCCCTTGCAGGGCAGCACAGCCAGATGCTGCACTCAGCAGAGGAAGGCCACACCCTCCAGGGGCCCATTTCCCAGCATATGATGGGAAAGATTTCCCATAGGAAAGTGGGAGAGAGTGTGCTTGGAGGCCTGTGCCACAGGCCAGAGCAGCCAGCAGCTCCTGGCACTGGAGTAGGAAAGTGGTTTGTCTGAAGAGGGGTAAAATCATAGGTTAGAGATAGGTCTGGAAAGGCAGTGGCTCAGCTAAAGGTCTGGCTGGATCTTCGGTGGTCAGAGTCCCAGCAAAAGCCAGAAAGCCATGAGTCCAGGCACAGCCTGGCACTCAGCTGGCACAAGGCAGACAGAGCCCGAAGCCTCCCTGCCACACCAGGTTGTGCTTAGCTGGCAGGTCCCACTGGATCCAAGCCCTGCTGATGCCAGGAGATCCCCTTCCATGAAGAAACCTGCTTTTCTACCCCACCCAGCCACAGCAAGGCAGCATCTGCCTT